CGAGATGTGGCGCTTTCACGACGAAAGGTGCGCTGGTTGCTGAGCAGGACTTCGAAAGCGCTCCGCCCCAAAAGCGATCCGCCCACTAGTTTACTTGGTGATTTGGACGAGCTGCGTTGCCAGCAGCGGCACAACTGGAGCATCTCGATTAAGCGTGGTTTGGCATGGTGCCACCAAACGCGTTGCGGTGAACTCGTTCATACGTCCGCTTTCTGAGCTGTTACCTGTTCATGAGTGAAAACCAACGGCCAAAAAGGGGTCCCGTTTTGCGTTTTCTTGACGGATTTTCTGCTTTTTTCGCTACTGGCGTACCATTGAGCACCACCACGTCACACTAAACCCTTCTTGAATTTATCGTAATCGCTGCCCTTACACGACAACCTACTCGTGAAGATGTGTTTCTCATCTTGACTCATTAGAATAACTTTTGTGATCACAGTATAGCCTGATCATTCCTTTATTTACATTGCTTCCTTTCTGATCCTGTTTCGATGAACAACTCATTTGCGGTAGCAGTAGCTACTGATGTCAAGGAGGTTCGAATCTTCCCTTATTGAATTTCCTTCCCATATGTTCCTCCACTACATAGATTCTCAATGCGTGCACAACTCGTGTATACAGGGTGTCCCATAAATATTGCACCACTTTTCTTTGCTTGTAACTTCTTTCAAAATGGATGTATTTTCAAGAGGTTTTACAAAAATTTTAGCAATACATTTACATATTGAAAGGAATGACATTCATTGGATATGCTCCCCTGTTGTTGTGAGTATGGCTCCCAATTGCTTCGAACGCAACTCTACTGTGGCCCGCATGGCATCCTGGGGTGTTCTCTTCGAAACTTTGCAGAGAAAAAGGCTCCGGCTCATCCATGTGGATGCAATGTTTAGTGCAGGCTCTGCCCTATAACATAGCCCACATAGATGGTCCAGCACGTTGAAATCAAGGGATAGGAGAGCCATTCGTTTGAGGATGTGAAATCGGAAAGAGTGCCTTAACAGCGCTCCTGAACAATTTTTGCCTCCTATGCAGAAGCTGGGTCCTATTGAAAAGATCATCACCCCTCCTCAAAGTGGCTAGATACCTCAGTAAGAGATGGTGCACCGAAATGTCCCTTGGCTCGATCTAGTATCAAGTTGTATTCCTTTGTAAACAGGCAGTGATGGTGAGCGACCGGTAGTTGAGATACCCCTGTCCAGACCATGATAAGGTTCGGCTGCTGCTTGTGGCGAATATTCCTTTCACTCTCACTGACTTCCTCAAGACCTCATGCGGGCATCCTCGGAGTTTGAAGATTGTAGCTCCGCTCCATGTGAGGAATTTTGTCGTCGATGAAAACGGTGCCCGCGTAATCGCCATTTTCGGCCCTCGACACCAGCTCTTTGAACTTTTTGTCTCTGCTGTGCTCCTCCCGTTGGATTGAGCAGTGGTGCTTATGCAACTTATAATGGACTGTGAGCAGTTGTTATCCGACCACTCTCTACATGGCTGTGTTTAGAAACTCCAGCGTTCTGGTCACCTTTCTCGAGCCAACCCGGGTATTGCAGTCGTTTCGCTTCTTCATGCTTTTCCTGAGATCCAAGATGTCAGAACTTGTGGGGCGGCCACAACAAAGACTACTTTTATTGGTCTTCTCTTTAGTGCACGGTAGGCCGCGGAGCGGTTGAAAATCCAAAGAAGCGCGATGCTCATCACCGGATGTCCGACCTAGCTGTGTGAGAGGTTAGGCACTCTGTTGAAGTTTAGGCGCACCATGAGATGCAGGCCGAACGGTAAGCCGTGGAATTTGGCATGGTCATTGACAAGAGAGGATAGAGGATTGAAAGGTCTGCCAATCTCGGAAGAAAAGCTATAAACACCTACAGAATTTGAGCTCAAAATTTGGTGCATAATTTATGGGGGACACCCTGTATATTCGCTGCCCGTCCTCTACAATTCTGTTGCAGGACGGACTGTCTTAATACTGCGTCGTCGGACTGATCACTACCCATCGAACCAACAGCCACTTTTCATTCAAATTTTGATTCGAAACGGTTGTAAGCAGAGTCAACCCTGCGTTGCGCAGTTCTCAACGGCCACGTTGCGCAGTTTCGCCCGATTAGACACGTTCTCTCGCGCGAACATTCACACTCGCATGCTCGAGCCGTCTGTGTCTCCGCCCATACAGCGTGCGTTGAGGATCTCTCAACGTGCCGTTGCGAACTGCGCAACGCAGGGTTGACTCTGGTTGTAAGATGTCATTTGCATCACGCTCACTAAGCAATCCCTTAATGACTATAGCGGATTAGTGGCAGCAGCACTGCTGTAACGACCCCCTCATCTCTCATCGGAGCAAATATGACCTCTTGTCGAGGGCTTCCTCGTCCGTTATTCACCCTGCTTCCAAGGCTTTCCTGGCGGAAATTTCAGTCTCGCACGCCAGGATTTTGCACTTCACACCAAAATCGTTTCCGCTGTGCTCCTCATCAAATGCTTGCAGAGCAATGAGGTTACACCGCTTCTCCAGCTAAAGCGTACTGGCATACAACGCAATGTAGGGCAAAGCAATACTTTTGATACATGACTGAAGGGTCTGAAATGGCCAAGCACCAACGAACGATGTATAGCACAAATATAACACGCACAGTTCAAGGGTGTGGAGCCGAAAGGACATTTTGCCATTATCGAGAAATTTTTTTTTGGGGGGGGGCTCTCTTCCTTTTGCCCTCGTCAATGTCAACCACACCTGCTGTAGTCGTTCAGCATAGAGTGCTACATAATCTTATGAATCGGTTAAAGATGCATACTTTTCTTGAGATATTCGCTCTGAATAGTAAGACTCTTTTGCATTTAAGATAACGTCGAAATGTGCCCTTCAATTTACAGATGGGCGCATTCACCTTGAACTCGAATGCCACCCACGATTTTTCATTCATCTCCAACATTCGCACAACATTTATATGATGCATTCATATTTTGTTCTTCGAAACTCGTTCCTGCTTCATTTTGAAGCGACCACATAGTACGCATATACAGTACGTGCCCAAAAAATTCAAACAAAAGCAGCGAAGTAGCGGCTTTTCGTGTTTGTTATAAGTAGGTTTGGGGAAGAGAACCATAGAAGCCTAAAACACCTAGCTTATTTAGCTCATCAAGCTATACATAAGGACTTCAGAGTTCTGAAAAAACTTCATCTCAGAATGCGCCATGCACCCGAGTTCAATATGAAGAGAGAGTGATGTATGCGCCGCGCATAAATACCAGTTATGCAAGCTAACCAGCCACCAAGGAAAAGATGTTCAACATGCGCCCCCTGCCTAACTTCGTCCAGTACATTGTGTAAATAGGGTATATTTTATCAATAATATTTCTAATAGATTCCATGATTTATGAGACAATTTGAAGCGCTGATGGGAACGGCAACGGACATGGCACGGCTATGGCGCCTTTGCCCACAATTTTGAGTCTAGGTAGTATCGCGACTCCTGTGGTTGGGAGCCCTGTTTCTTAGTTACGGAAGGCCGGCTCTTGATACCTAATCGAGACACGTGGCATGAGTTGTTTTTCCATTCCGTGGGGCTAATAAACTGACTAACAAACATCGCATCTCCTGTCTGTTTTTTTTGAATGAAGCGGATACGAAGCCCGACCGGAAAGAAAAGTGACTAAAAGTGCCCTGACCAGTAGGCGATTGGCAATCTCTTCCATACCCAGCGTACGCACACGTTCTGATGCCAACGAGAGCACATCAGTGATCACCATTAGCGTTTCAGTCTCCAGTAAGAAAGAACCAATTCTTGGGGGGCTGGGCATTAAAGTTGACGAAAAGTACCAGCAACGCTCACAAGTTCCTTACAAAGTTCCTTTTTCTATAAACGCACATGGTTTCAAAACCAATCGCAAGCACAGCATTCTGAGTAGATTGCATCAAGAGCAGCAGACAGACCAAAAATGTTGTACAAGACTGATTTTGGTGGAAGCTCATACTAAGCACGTAAAGATCAACGTGCGTTCTTCTCTAAAGAATTTCATCTAAAAGTATCATGCAATGACACATGGTTTGCAGTTGGTGCGTTTGTGTCTTCGCCGTTTGGCACGGATCTCCTTCTCGCCAGTTTGCTTCTCGATGAAATTCCCATTGTAATTTTATGATAGGCGGCTCATTAACTTTTGGGCGAGGTTTATTAAGGAATGATGTTGCTAGTTTCGTGAGCCCCTACAATAGCGCGGTTTGCTCGTATGTTTGTGAAGTTATCTACAATTCTCGGTTGACTTGTTAAACTGTTAAACTCGCTTGTTAAACGGCTCATACCGACCACTGTAAGATTTGTGAGGGTGAATTTCGGAAGCAATCTCAGTAGACTCAGTCTGTTATCGAGGCAAAGAGTGCTGTACAAAAGCAAGTGTTGTGGGTCCTGACATAGTAGAGGGGTTCATTATGATCATTTGTCGTACAAATGTAATGACTATTCTTTATGATTGTAACTTGCAAGCTATGGAATATTCTGCAAATATCAACCAATTTTACCATTTTGAAGCATTTAGTGAAATGCATCATGGCATTATGCATAGCGCCTCATCCCTACTGCATTTGCAGTTGGTGCACTTGCAGTCGTCATCGGTTTGGCACGGTTCTCCTTTCTCGTAAATCAACTGGTCGATGAAGTTTCCTCTGCAAGTTAATCATAATAGGAGCTTCGCGTTGGGACGTGGTATCACTGCTCGCCATGGAATGGTACTTACCCAGGGCGGTACTGACAAACCACAAATGTCATTGGCACTGGAGGGGTCATTGCAATATTCTATCACACATCCGAGCTTGTAACTACTCGACTCCTATATTCTCGCCTCACCTGAGTGTAGTGACCAATCTGCTCTTTCTGTCGATAAAACAGTTCGTTAGTGAGTATGTTGTCTTGTCCAACACCATGGTCTTTTAATTCAGCGAAGAACTTATCGCAGGCCTAGAGCACGGTTGTTTTTTGCACTGAAAAATTGCTAACGTTGACAATTGCTCTTACCATTTCCGCTGCAAGTGACCTATTCATTTCCGGTTGAAGGCTCGCCCATACATTCTCACCAAGACCGAATCTGTCGGCTTTGATGGAATGTCCCCATCTGCATTTCTCGGCATGCCTCAGTGCGTTTGCTTCGATTTCGCAATCATACACCTGAATGACCCATCGTCACATGACCCACGTTGCGCAAAGCATTGTCGCCTATGCGTATGTGACCGCACCATCTTAAGCATTCTCAAGCATTGTCGCCTATGCGTATGTGACCGCACCATCTTAAGCATTCTTGCTGCTTTGGGAGCGTATCCACCGAACTTGTCCTTCGCCAATCCTTTTGCAACGAATGATCTGGAAGAATATACTCAAAATCATGGTTGACATCCGTCACGACCACAGCTAACCTGTAGTAGTTATGTTTTTTGAGGAAAATCTCTCTGAGGTCATCTGTCATTCCGGTATTGGCTTTGCATGAATCTGGAATCAGCATCATTAATTTCCTAGAACAGAAGTAACTCGAATCCCTCAAACCTGGTCCCTCCACTGGTGGCCTGGGCTTCTTAGTAGATGTTTTGGTTTCAGGTTTCATCACCATGTTAGTTTCGCAAATACCGTTCGAGCAAAATGAGTCGGGATGAGCGTCGCACTCACAGGTTCTTCCATTTTCCCACAACTCTTGCATCGGTGGTATTCTTCTGAAATTGAAAACACTATTTTGCATTATTTTTCTTCACTCCTGCCATCACGGTTTCAGCCGACTAACTGGGCTTCTACAAAATAGGGGGTGTGTTTTAGCACAACTAGTTCTGATCTAGTGTGTTTTTAAAGATACACGTTCAAATTAAGAAGGCGATGTTATAGGAGAGGAAATGGACTGTTTCGCGCGTCTAGTCTTATACTGTTCATGATTGAGCGCGTTCTCCCCAAATCCACAGATGCTGTCAACTATGCAGCGTTTAAAAGGAATTAGTGAGTTGCGTGATTATTGTACCCACACGCTCATTACGTCATCTGCCTCACCGCCAAATGTGAATTGGTCCGCTTGTTTTAGTGATAATTGTTCCATTCGAGAGAAAAATGTTATCGTTTGAGACAATTGGGAATTCTATACTGTACAATGAGAAGAAAACTTGAGAAAGCGGAACTATGTTCAGGCAAATGTACGGCCCAAATCTGTGTGAAAGCTGCAGTCCATATGGTCACTGCAGAGCAGCGAAATGAGGAATACTATATTCAGTTCTCATGAGCCTGCCTTCATTTGTGCAATCTTCAGAAATTCCTTACTTAGTGCCATAAATGCAGGATACCAGCATCTCGGAGCCGCAGACCTTATATGCACATCCAAGCTTCATATTTTTGTGATTCGCTATCTAAAAACAGAAGTTGTTATTTAGTTTTATTTTATGCATGCATGAAATTCCTACGTTGGCAAAAGTTTCGAGTCTGTAGAAGAACTTGCGATTGGGTGGTACTCCATACGTCATCACGGGGTTCATCCAATTTTTCTGAGCGAATTCTAAGGCCTCCTTCTTCCTTACCGTTTACGTAATTAACGCTAAACATATAACTCATTACTAAATTTGAAACAGAACATAACCGAATCTTCCATGATCACCTTATACTGTTTTGAGACATTGACAAACGGCACGACCCGGGTGCAACTTTGAAAATGCATGAGGAGACCTGGTACTGTGCTTTTTTCTCCAGGTCACAGTCCCATTTCTAAAATTTAGTTGCACTAGTTTCTGTCATCCCTCTCCACTTTCATAAGCAGGTTGCTGCTTTCCCTTGAAGAAACTAAACGAAGTTACTGGCTTTGGTAACACCAGGATTACAAAGACTTGCCTTAAAAGAAGTGAAGCGCTATAATGTTGAAATTTCCAAATCTTCATGCTAAGGCTGCCTTCGTTAACACGACAAGTGAGTTTTCCCTGAAGGCAATGACCTACCAGTTTGTACATGTTCTTAGCTGGTCCGAGGAACCGGCTATAAACCGGTCTATTCGGCTGAATTCCGGTAGATATGTTGCGACGAACATCGTTATGGAAATCGAGGAATATCTTCCTTGTTTTGTCAGTCTGGCTCAGGTCTTTTGAGCAGCCATAATCTGAAGGGTATCATGTGAAGCAAAATTGCAATGGATTTATGTTATGCGGAATTTTTTCGAAAAGGCAACGCCTCGTGCTGTGGAAGAGGACATGAACTTCCGACCCTCGTAAGTAAGTCTTCTCTGTGTGTGCTACGTACCTGCTTTCACATACGAACTCACGAGCACCTTAAAATACAGCATTTGGCAAACAAGTTGGCCAACAATAGATTTATCCAATAATTTCATGAGCTTTGTTCGAAGACAATTCACAAGTAATCCAAATTTCAACGTACCAGGCAAACGAGCGTGGTAGCCCACAACATGTCGGAATGTGGCTTTCGATGTTCATTTGAATATGTGCTAATATTTATATGGTTGTGCGACATGAAAATTGCCCAATTGCCGCCCACATTGATTACACAAATGCTGCACAAGTATGGTATGTGCTCCGCAATGACGATACATTCGTTGAAATAATGAATACCGTGGAACTTATCCAAAAGTCCAAAGTTGTTTGGATATCTTGGTATCCAAAAGTTACCAAGATATCCAAACAACTTTCTATGAAGCTACACAAATTAGTTAGTTCTTAGAGCATGTGAAGAATATAGAACCTTCTCTTCTCGAATGCTGAAAAACACAGGAACTGACTAAAAAATTTTGAAGAACTTTTTTTTCATAGGCAAAGCTACGTCCTTCTGAACAGCACCAATACAACCGCCTAGGAAAGCTACCGTAGCTGCCATGTTCGACTCTCGATAAACCTCGGAATCTCGGTAATGGGTACTTACTGCCTTGTAGAACTGCAGAAGACGGTTCTTAACATTACTTTGTTGGCTAACGTTTCAGCAAGTTCGCCTTCGTCGGAGCCGAAAGGATGGGATTCGGATTGTAAGTATGCGACCAAATTTCTACACACACCTACTAGATCTTCGACACCACCTGACTCATCACGTAAGCGCTAGAAAGATGAAACACTGTACCTTTATCAGGTCCACCGGTTCAGCTAACGACACGCACAGTGTAGTGGGTTTTTGAATGGGTCGTATTCAGAGCTCCGTTTGGAAAGCTGATCTTATATAGAGAGCCAGTTCCAGCGTAATTGACAGGCACTCTTAACTACGATTCATTTTTGGATTCCTGATATGGCTGCGCCAATATAATAATACCAGTTTTGCTCCGCCCGCTATCGCGCGCATCACACGGCAGGCTTTAGCGAAACTGGAGGACCCATGGAATATCAGCATGAGGTACTCCATTAACCACCTCACTATTGAATGTGGTAGACTTTTCCCAGTTTCCAGGAGTCCATCGAAAAT